GTATTCAACAGAGTTCAGTCTGCAAGTATTTGACATCCATATGCAATGTCAAATAATTTTCTAAGGCCAGATAGTCATGAATAAAAGTGCATAGATTAATTCCACACTTTTCTCTGCTGCACTTTTTAATGAGTTCTCTCACTTAGACACAGATCTCCATAAGGCAGCCTGTTAAAAATGAAATTGAGATGCTTCCACCATCAATCTGAGCATGCTGTAACATCACAGCTCTACTAGAGCAAAATAAAGTTTTAGTTTTTAGTTTTGCATTGGGTTTGGATTGCGATTTAATGACATATTTCCCTCAGCCCCTTCACTCCAGCGCTAAACATTTTGTGGTGAAGCTTGTAGGAGGTTTGCTGTGTATGGCCAGAGGTAGAAATGGTTTTATGCAGCTAATTGCAAGAGCACAACTCAAAGTAACACTTGTCCTGTCACTACAGGAAAGTGCACACAAGGGGAAAATGTCATGGAATTGTCAGCAGTGACTCCTGAAGCAAAGTGGTGTAGCTTTGTCATTTCCACCTGTGGAAGCTTCACAAACTCACCCTCTTGTACATCAGTGTGCTTGCTTTGGTGCATCACCTTCTTTAGGCTGCACTTCCAGCAGCTCTCCCCCTCTCATTCCACACGCACTCCCAAATAGCCCATCCTGGTAGCTGTTTGCAGTGAGCTAGCATCCTGGTTTTAATAAGGTTGGTGGAGTTGTTTTTTTTTTTCTCAAGGCATATCAAGCATTACAGACCTCTAATTAGTTGTACTTATACTCAAAGTTCAATAGTCAAGTCCTTTGAGGCATTAAGAGATTATATCCTTTAATAGCTCTGAAATTAACAGAAAACATCCTTATTTGCTTCTTATTTCTCAGCTTTATCAATTTCAGGATATAATTTGGTGTCATGGAAGGTGTGCATTACATGTTAAAGAGGTTATATGGGTGCATTGGCAAATCACCAGAACAGGGAGAAAGCTTGTCTGTAAAAGAACAGTGAAATCCAAAAAATGGAGCAAATCAAAATTAATGTACATTTGTGTTTGTTTCTGTCAGGGAGAACTTCTGTTTCTTTATCCTTGGCTATGATCTTGCAATACATCAAATTGTCCCTTCTCTTTCATTTGACTGACAGCAAAGCCAACACTTGCTGAAACTTTTTTTCATTCCTCACATTTCTTATCCCCTTTTTTTTTTTTTACTTCATTTTTTCTCTCTTCCTCTCCAGAGATCCATCACAGCAACATGCAGCTCCCAAGTGCAATCTTTGATTTGTTTGGCACTGTATGTCTAAATCAAAGAGAAGGGACAGAAAGTATCCTGACTGATGTGCAACCTTATAATGATTTTTTTTTCCATGATCTCTCACAGAGAGATAGCTAAATAATTACTTTAAAACAGGACCTCAGAGTTTCATGATAGCATTTTGCTTGTCAAAAGCTCATTCTGTATTTCAATTGCAAGAAATACTCTATCTTGATGATCAGTCAATTAAAAAAAAAGTAAGCAACTACTCAAAATCCAAAACAAGAAGGAGCCAAACCCTTGAAATTTACCCTAAAAAAATCAGTGATCCCAGCTACTCCAAATACTCCTTTCTGTGGCTAATTGCAACAGTAAAAGTCAATGAAGATTGCCCTGAGTTATTTTCCCATCGAATTAAGGGTACTGAGTTGTCAATATACCTCAGGCTTTACAGATCATATCTGGTGTATTTGAAATCTGCAGTGTAAGACCTTTTTTTTTTCCTACTGTGATGTTCAATTGCAGAGCAATTTCAATTGTTTGTTGTCAACATCAAAACCACTCAGCAAACCACATTCACATCTCATTTCAAAGATAGTTTAGCTGGAATTACACTTTTTTTTTAATGGAGTTGCTTATATTTTGTAATTATGGAGGATATTTATTTATCTGTAAGGTTTGCAGTTCTGCTTCCAACACACCTATTTGCTAGATATACCACTTTGCTGACCCTATTGTAGCTTTAGCTGTGTTTCAGTACACACTCACACATCCACACATGCACCTGTACATAAACCAAATGCTTATTAAAACACACCTCCTTTCTTTGCTGTGCATATTTTGACACATTTAAAGAAGGATGACCTCTCAGTTCTTGAGTGCAACTCTACCAGAGTTGAAACCAGCGTACAGGAAAACATCCCACTGCATTTGCATGAGTTACACTCTTGTGATAAAGTTATGGCAGAAGAAAAGGTGTCAACATGTGCATTTCTTCAAAGTTGAATTAATTTTTTTTTTTTCTCTCTCAAGTTCTTCACAATTTTTTTTTAATACATTTGGCTTTGGTCAAAAAGCCCTGCTAGGCACCCTCAAGTGCAATATAAGAAGAACACTTGAAAGCTACAATCTGAACCATAAATCCCCAAACGTCCATTTCAGTCTGTGAGACCCCCTTGGCATCTAAACTTTTATTTTCTAAGCGGTTTGAGTTCTGCAAATGTATATACCCAGTAGCACAGCCATCATGCCTGAGCTAATGGCAACAATTTCATGCCTTAAGACCATTTTCTACGCTTTGAGAAGTCTGTTCTGCTGGGCAAATTCAGTGTATTGCCTTTGCAATTACTGCAGTGATGGGCACTTCTGTCAAAACTGTAACCAGAGAAGATGTTGTCATTCTCTAATTTTTGAACAAGTTAATAATATGTCTCCCATCTGGGAAAAGGAAGACTTCCCTTCTTATATATCACCTACATTGATTTCCTACCAGATAAGTACCCTCATTAATAATTAGAATCACAATTTTCTTAATTTCCTTCTGTTATGTGGTTGTCCCTCTGAATTACAGATATTTTTGCAGTATGGTTGCAATTAAGTGTTTCTTTGCCTCAGACTTGTGAACTGTCTGCATAACACATCACACAGGAAAGCCAAAGCCATGAACTTCTGACTAAGGAAGATCAAGAATCATGCTTCTAATGCCAGGTTTATCTTGGCATAATTTTAGGGTAGTGATACCATTCTACCTTCTTGTCCTACTACCCTAAAAGCCAACCATCCTCCTCAAAAACTCACTTGGTGCCTGCATTTCCTATACCGACCGTATAGATTATAGCCCTCAATCAATGCACAATACACACTTCTTTTGGGAACACTTGTGCTCTTTGGGTTGTTACGAATCTCACTATTTTAGTTGAAAGTCTTTGTTTTCTCTGTTCGCTTAGGAGAGAATTTTGGACCTAATCTGGGTTTATGAACACAAAATTTGGCTCTAGGTTGCTCTAGCCTTTTATTTGTGCACAGTTACTGCAAATGCAATGGGGAACACAGACTGCTGAACTGTGGACATGGCCTTCATTTCTATCAGACTTGCTTGTGCTGTATTAAATAATTATGCAGGCATGAAAAATTTGTCAGAGACAATAATGAAAGACTTTGAACTACCAAAGGAATGATAACTAATTTAATTCTCTTTTCTATTAGAATATTCATAAATATGCTGGACTACTTTATGGAATGAGTAAAGTACGTTCTTATTTAATGTCCATATAGCATTCAAAATTACATAATAACATAATTATCACTTATTATTAAAATTTTTTCATGTTGTGCATATGTGAGTTAGACTTTGCTGTTATTAGCAATTCAGCTGGTGTGGAAAATGATACAAGATTGGCATAAAAATAGAATCCAGCTTGTTGTAATGCTTTTAATATTCAAAGCATCCCAAAGTACTATATAGAACATGTTGTTGTTAGGTATCATTAAAGACCTCCTATTAACTGGGGAAAGCTGTTTGATGGCTTTGAAGATAATTGAGAAGATATTTCTTAATGTAAAACTAAAAATAAAAAACATTCTCAAACAAACTTATCCTACAGAGAACAAGCTGGAGAGAGAACTGACATTTGTCCTCTCTTGGTCAATAGATGCTATTAAATCTCCGAAATCATATTAAACAATATTTTAGGGAACTGACTTAAATTCACAGGGGGAATAAAAGAGAATGAAGGTAGATATTTATTCTGAAATTTCATACTAGTGCAACTGTATTTCAGAGTCTGATGACATACTATGCACATGTTATTATTCACCTTCGGTCAGGCAGCATGGGTTAAGATAGGAATATCATCCCAGGCATTAGCCATTAATCTGGGTATCTCATTGCTTTACTGAGGTTTAGGTTATACAGATAATAACTCCAGGCCATATTTTGACACCTTTATTCATGGTGAATGGTGTCTTATGCAGCATCAAGTCCCACTAAAATCAGAAGGTTATTTCCTGAGAAATGCATTAGTCAATGTAGCGGAATATTGTCCTTTGGCAACATCTGCAGATGAAATTGTACTGTAAAACATTACTGCATCAGCCAGAGCAGGGTGCCATAATGGCTTTGTATACAAATTTGAAACATATCCTGAGATAGTGGCTCCTGATAATGTCATTTCACTCTCTCTTTCATTGTGTGATTCCTTGCCACAGAGCTGTAATGACAATATAACACTAACATTTTATCAAAAACTGACAGTCAAACCATGGATAAAAGTTATCAAAGTTATAACACTGAGACATGTTTGGGACTCAAAGTCAGATAGAAATTTAGTGTGATGATCTTTAAAACTGCTTTAGTTTATTGTAGACCATTTTGTGACTCTGTGTCTTTTTCGTTGTTGTTATATAGTTTTAATGCAGTTTTCACAAACAAAACCACAGACAATTCTTTTAAAATCTACTTTAAACTCCTTTTGGTGGTAAATTGGGCTCTTTTAGAACCATTTCAGTCTACTTGAGTCTGTGCAATAGCCATAATATTGGAAAATATTGTTGTAAGACCTGTAACTGTAATATTTGCTAATGATGATTTCCACTCTAATAACCTCAAAGAACTGCATTTCCAAGGAACTGGCTTTTGAGGAAATTAAAAAAAAAAAAAAAAAAAAAAAAAAGCAGAGAAATGAAATGGCAAAAATTACCAATGGAAAATCTGCAGTTCAAGAGAAAATAGAATATTTTATTTGATTTAGTCAGATATCCGAGTTTTAGCATGATCTTCGCAGCTCACATAATCAAAACTTCCTCACATCAACAGCTAATTCCTGATAATACAATAATAAATGCACACCAGGTATTCATGTCAACAGATAACCAATGTTGGCTTCAAGAATGGGGGTTAGAGGAGAACCTTGGGCCTGACTTTTAGCATCTTTGCCATTTGATTTCATGGTGCTACATCCACGCCTTCAGCAAGATTTCTTAGGGAGAGACAGGTGCATGAGCATTTGAGAACAACCTAGGATGTCTTATAAGGTACTGAGGGAAATGAAATAGAAAAAAGCAGTGCACTGCTGCTCTGTGCCTTTCAGAGGCTTGGTCTCAGTGCTGCAAACAGCTCGGAGAGAAGATGATCACGTGTTGATAAGAGCTGCTCTGCTCTCCCAGGCAATAGTTCTCTTCTGCTGTACAGAATGTTATCAAACTGCCAAGCTTAGTCCCTGCATTGTGATTTTTGTTACCATAGGACCAAAGAGCTCGTGTTGCTTCTAGAAACTAGGGAAACCTTTCTGGAGTCTTTCCAACATTTTTAATGCAAGGGGGTAAGACCTCCTTCCTCAGAGTGTTTAACCCTGGTGAGATGTGTGGGCTCCTGATGAGAGCTCCCTGGACAGAAGGTCACAGCCCAGAAAGTGAGGCATTTGAACTTGGCCCCCAGCTCCTTTTCAGGGGCTCCCAGTCACTCTGCCTGGAGTGAAGATGGGCTCATGCTGTGAGGACGAGTGTAGTAGGCATGGGGATTTATCAAGAATGCTGAGGACAGTCATCAGGCACTGAAACACGCCAGAGGACATCTCCCTTCCACTCAGAAGAGAAAGACTGGGTTTTTTTCCTAAGATGTTTTAGGACCATTACTTTTTCCATGCTGAGAACTTCTGCATCACTTAGTTTATCAGTCAAAGACAAAATGGTTTTGGCCATAAAACATGCTCTCATGCAAGCTCTTCCTCCATCAGATTCAGTTCACCCAGATCCTTTCATGACTCACATCTCTGGTTTCTTCATTCTCATTACCTGTGAATACAATTTTAAGGGAAACTATTAGATGATGCTCAATATGCTTATGTGTTTCTTTGTTGTGCAGAGTGTCATGCTGTTTGCATCCTCCACTGTCTTCCACTATTACCCAGCAACTCCTGCCTCCTCTGAAGGTATTTTGTGCTTTCTATCTCTATTGTTGCCTTGTCTCCCCTTAAAAACTGCTCATTCAGCATGTGAAACTGAGATTTTTCTGAACTTAAAGTGTGTTTGGTATGAAACTTTCTTATGGGAATAACACTGAAGTGTCCACTGTATGAAGGTGACTGTCCCTTGCCCCACTCTAAACCATCTGCTACTACTGCCACTTTGCCAGACATTTTCTGCAGAGCAAATAAAAGTTGAGTTTTCAACCCAACGGTAAGAAAACCTTATCCAGCCCCTAGAAACAGGGTTTTTTTGTAAAAAAAATCCCTCCCCCTCATCCCACAGACCCCAATACACACCAGAAATTAGTCCAAAGGAGACGCAAGCAGCTTGGAAAATGTGACATTAAGTGACGGTATGGTGACAACATCCTAAAATGGGAAGTGTTGTGCAGCTTTAAGATTGGTTGAAACTAAAGGCAGGACTTGTAATTAGAATCTAGATAGTGAAAACAGCACAGCTACTGACACCAGGGCTAAAATCCGTCTTTGGATAAGTATATTGTAAGAATTTCTTTCAACTTCCAGAAGAAACATTTGCACAGAACCAGCTGTGGATTTCAGCCTGAGTTTGCAGGAAGTCATGTCTGATTTTGTGCTGGCATCATTATCAGTTAGAACTGCCATAATTTCTGTCATTGTATATTCCGTGCTATGAGGAGAATAGACGTCAGCAGCATGTTAGGATGGTAAAAAAGATGAAAATTTTTAGGTATAATTACTTTACAATACAATCAAATTACACTATTGGGCATTATAATACTTCATGACATTCACAGTGTCACAGATGGAAATTTTAATTTTTACTGTTGATAAAATTATTACTTTATTACTTCCTGGAAGTTTTCATTCTTCTTGTGGGAGAGCTCCAGTGAAACAAATGTGGGGTAAAAAGAGTTGAAATGTGCATTATGGATGATGAATCTACCAGAGTTGATAGCACTGTTCTGGGTTTAGTGGTTGTAGACAATTATCTTTGATTTATTAAAAGTTAAGAATGTACATTAAAATAATTGAGACCCCAGTAAGTACAAAGAACAAAAGATAGGACTTCCTTTGGTAGACAGAGATGTACAAATACAATATTAATGCTTAGTATAGGTAATGTAATAAATTGTCCACTAAACAAATCTGAATGCATTGGGAATCTAAGCCTTTCCAGGAACTGATGTTGATGCCAAACCAATTCATGTTCTGCACATCGTATGAGTCATAGGAGAGAAAGGCAAATTGAACACCTGACTTCTGTTGTGGCTTAGTAATTAAATTCTGGGACTTAAAAACATTGTCCCCCACAAAAGTCCCTACAAATAAATAAGTGGTTTATAAGTGCAGTTTTAATAAAATTGACTTAGATACATTCCAGCCTATTACTACATACCTGGGCTTTTAAAATTTAAGACAATATTTCCAGTTAACCCTTTTTAATACAATTGAAATTTCTAAAATATTTGCTCTGAGATTCCACATTAAAGTTTAATCGTTGAGCTTGTGTCTAGCACTCAAAGAATCACTTCATCATATTGATTGCTACTGCCAAGTACCTCTCAGTCCTTAGGACTCTGAGCAATTTTCCAGAGGGATTGAAGCTAACTAGGGCCAGTACCAACTCACCTCTGTCTCATTCGCTGACTGCTTGCAAAAGAAAGTTCTTTTCCAACAACTTGAAATCTTTGATCTGCAGACTGCTCCTCACAGCATGCAATAATTTAAGGGTTAATCTCCCTTATCTATTGCCTCTCTTTAAGATGGTCACCAAATTCAGCTCATGGATTTAAGTCTAAGACTTCTCTAACCGCAAAGCTATTGCACAGTCTTAAGCTTCTTTTGCACCCTTCATTCTTCCAACAGATCTACAATGATTTGATTTTTGGACTTTTCAATAGGACCATCTCCTTCCTAAGTCCTATATGCTGTCATTTTGTACATACTTGTGATGTTGCTCTAAGAATAGGAGAAGTGCCTGCTCTCATCAGAGCAGAAGAAAAGCTTGTGCATTTCAAAACCTGATCACTTCTGTGTTATGATACTTTCCCTAACACAAAACATCCCCTCTCCCATAAGATCCTGCAATGTTGAATGCACCTGTATTCTGGGCAAAATAACTTGCTATAGCAGGACTTTCTCTTCTGATCATTGCTGTGAGATAGAGCAGGCAGAGTGGCTAACAATGACAAGTTATATTCTGTACAATGCAGAGGCCCATTTAATCCTATGGGGTGCAGAGATCAAACTTAAGGGGCCATGTTGAAAATAATATTAATACTTTAGTAAACAGAAGAAACAAACATATTTATGAAATCTTGGCACCACTGAAGTCAACGTCAAAACTTCTGTTAACTTCAGAGAAGCCAATATTTATATTCTCTTTTCAAATAGTATAGATTATAGAAAAACAGGGCCCGAAAAATTGTCCCACCTACCTGACACAAAAAGTCAGCTGCTGGAATACCTCCCAATCCCCTTTAAGGGTATTTGCCTGAGTTTATTAGCTCCTTCCATCAACCTTCCAGTTTGAAAGCAGTGCCTAAGACCAGAGGTAACATTACAAATAATGCTGTGTTTTCCTTCTTCTAAAACCATCTACTTTTGCACTGTCTGCCTGCAGAGCTAGAACCAACCTAGAACACAGTAAAGCAAATGCTTTGAAGTCACCCACCAGTCTCCAGTGATGAGGTGAAATAGGGATTAGTTCCCTTCATATATGTCACCATCAGTGCACTTTGTACTGGGAAGGAAATTTCTCCTTACACTTTATCAGTCACATTTTGAAGCTTCCCCCCCACATTTACCTTGGTGAATATGAGGAGACTGGTTGTCAAAGTCTTAGATGAATGCACTGCATGTCATTGAGCTTACAGCTATCTAGCAGATGTGATGAACATTGCCTGCTTTCCCTTTCACTATCTTGGCTTATGTGTACAGTTTAAAAAACCTTTAAGCCTGCAAAAACTGTCCTATGAGCTCCAGGCTCCTGAGAACAAGGATGAGGCACTCAGCATCAACGAGGAGGCATTCTCTCTATTGCTTTTAGGTTTTAGTCTCTGACAATTAATTTTCCATTTCTCAAAGGCAGAGAGTGAAAGGGTTCAGAGAAACATTATTTCTTGCTGACCTTTGAGGAAAGGTCTCATAGCCCATGAGGTAAAGATGTTTCAAGCAGCACAGGATCACCCTAGCTGAATCCCTGTTCTTTAACAGGGCTGTAATTCTTTTACGGAGCTGTAATTACTACTTCTGTAGGAGTTTTGGTTGGTTGGTTTGTCTGTTTTTGTTTTCTTAATGTCTTGCTGTTTGTGAGTATCATATATGTGTTTGATCTCTTCACCTTTTAAATAAATAACAGTGACACTGGGGAAGTCAAAAGGGGAAACAGGTAAAGTTTGTCAGCACTAAAGTCTTTTTGTTTTGTCATTCTGTCAACTTTACTACATGACAAAGTGTAAGGTTTAGATGAAACAGCAGGACTGATCCCACATCAAAATAAGGAATGAACTCTTCTGCTTAAAACTGTGCTTATATTAATGCAATCGTTGAATGGTGAGTGGATCTTTGAAGCTGAATGCTTAAGAATAACATTTCAGCCATTTCAAAATACGCACACACACGCACACATGAGTATTTCTGAGAATCTGGCACTTGTTATTCATCCTGCATTGTATGGCCAACCAAGCGCTCCAAGCACAAACATCCAAAACAGCAAATCCATAAAAAACCACGCAAAACAGGGCAGAGAGGATGTGGGAGTTCTCTTATCTGCAAGCACCTCCAGCAGTTTAAAAGCAACTAAACAAACAAAAATACATCATCTACCTGCTATTGAGAACAAAAAATGAACTATACGCAAAGCAGTGAAAATTCATTACAAGTATCTGGGTGAAGCTGTGAAGAACTTTTTAGCCCTGGATGCTGATTACTCAGTGCTTTGACTTCCATTAGAAGCTTCTTGTTGCATTTGACCTGTTTCTGTATTTATTGCAACATGTTTTCATACAAAACTTCTTTTTTGGTTGAATATTTCAGTACTTTTTTTAAAGTGTATAGCATGGTAGTGAAGCAATACATGTGGTGGCTTATAATAAACCTTACAATGAGGCAAATATGTGTTTTAATCAAAAGCATGGCTGAACTGAAAAGAAGCCACTGTTCCCATAATTTCTAGTATAGGATTCAATGCCTTTGCATCAGTTCTTAATCTCTGACCACAGAGACAAAGAGGAACTAGGTGGTCAGTTGTGGGTTTAATATCACAGAAAACAGCCTGTTTTATCTGTAGTAACTGTGCAAGGCTTATTACTCTTACCCCAAATGACAACAGCAGTCTCACTATTGCCATATCTGCTGTATGATTCTTCAGTCACATGCTGCCATTGCCACAGTGCTGTGTGAAAGTGGGAATTGAATTGATTCGGGACTGTACAGGCAGGAGACAGGCAGCAGATGGAGAAGACAACAGAAGAGTAGAAAAGCCATGACACGTTTCAGGAAAAAGTGCTCGGGATGAGATAAAACCGTGCATACAAGCAGGCAAAGGACCCACCAAAAAAAGAGAGACTCGAAAGAAAAGAGTCAGGTGAATTGAAAGGATCAATAAAATTGTAAGACATTTTGCCATTGTTAAAATTACCATTCTCATCTCTGCTTTTTCCCTGTTGCACTGGACTGGTTACTGACTGACAATGTGATTAGGCTTTTGGTCTTTTGATTTCACAGATGAATTTCACAGATGAAAATGCAAAGTTATTTCAGTGCTTCTTATTTCTCACCTCTCTCACTTCATATCTTTACAAGTTTAGGATGGTTTTTTTTTTTCTTCCGTTCTTTATTGAA